CAACCACCCTCTGGGGGGAGAACCTTTTCCTGATATTCAACACAAATCTCCACAGTCAACAGATCCACACTACATCAATTAAATGAAGAAAAAATGAGAAGAAAATATACTCTTTCTCCATTATTTTTCATAGCAAGCACCATCCATTCTCAGTAATTTTCAGTGAAATTTGAATATCTTTTTTCCAAGTAGGTGTATTTTCATGTTTTACCAAAGTATTTGCAATAGATTTAGATAATATATATCTGGGTGCAAATTATAATAATTTCCTTGCTTTAGGAGTTTCCTGGGGTAAGGAGCATTTATGTAGGGAGCTCCTTATGTATTTCAGTACAGGATTGTAGAGTGCTTTCTTTCTGCAGCAGTTCCACAATTAAAAGACAAAGCAACAAGCAAAACATCGTTCATTCACCTGCTCCTAAGAAAGTAGGAAAAGACAATCCACGTGGAATCTTAAAATTGGTGACAGTTAACTTAAGACAAAAATTGAGGGGAAGTTTGAGGAGAGGAGAGATCTGTTAGAATATTATAAAGGATAATTTATACCAAAAAAATTCAGAGGTAAAGCATCAGTGGTTAATTCACATTACATGTAGTCCTTGAGATACAGCGTGGGATTCATCTCACCAAACTTTAGTTCTTCCCAATAACCTGTCCATAACTAAACTGGCTGACTGATCTCACTGTGTAGACAACTGAACAAAACAAACAGCAGTATCTGTTAGCACAGATCTGCAGTATATTCAAAATCCAAAATTAAATTAAATTAATCCCACTCTTCAAATACCAACCTTTTCTTTCCCTTCTTATAAAGTGAGCCTAGAGTCATTAACTGGATACTGCAGCTACATTCAGATTTTCTTAAAGCCATGCCAACTTTTTCATTAGGACTCATTATTTCTTAAGATTGCTTGGAACTGAAGGTCCCACTGTTTGTCAATGGTGGGAGCAGGGACTGCTTCAGCAGGAGACTCAACTTCCAAATACTGAGTGACTGGTAAGAGTATAGAGTGTAACAATTACTATCAAAGGATTGTTTCATCTTACCTATTGTACATTAGCATCTACCATTTTTTCTGACCCACCAGAGATTTGCAAAGAGAAAGCCATTAGTTAGAAAGATAATTAGTTTCATAAAAATAATGATGTATAGAACCCTTTATGAACCAAAGTATGTTTCCCTGCAAACATCCTATAATCAAGAATTTTGATCTAAATCAGGTCAGATCTGAACTAGAGTTGAAATGAAGATCCAGAACACAAGTTCAACCAGGGAAGAGACCAGCCTTCTCTCTCTGAGAGCAAGAAAAATCAAGCAAGCAGGTTGTCCATACCATTCCACATGGTTTTTACCATAGCTCCCTCCATGGTAGCTGTTTCCTCTTGAGCTCTTTAGCCAAGTGGAATACTGGGACTTGAAAATCACGAATTTGAGAGCTTTGCAATGCCCTTCTTTTTTTTTAACAAAATGCTGGGAGCAAAAAGTTGTATTCCTGGGAAAACAGCATGCTGGTCTGAGACACAGCACTAGGATTTTCCATGTCTTTTTCCTTATTCCTGAACAGAACTGCAGCCTGGCACAACTCTCGCCCATGGGAAATGTAAGTTTCAAAGGGTTGACAAAGGGGGAAACACTTCTAATACAGAAATATGATTCCTGAAACTGATTTAAGTACTTGGGTATTTCTACCCTGCTACAGAAGGACTCCTCCACCATCAGATGTCTCATCAAAACTAGGCTCCCATTCCACAGGGTATTGTGGAATTTCTTGGTTTGTGGCAAAGTGTGTTTAGTAGAAACATGTATTATATTCAAAAATCATCACCTCATTTCACGTTAAAAGCCCAAATCATTGATTTGTCCCCACAAAGACAGTGCTCAGTACAGCTGGAGAAGGAGAGGAACTAATGCAGGAGTCCATGGGAATTCAAGGCCCATCTTCTTCTCCTGCACTTCTCCAAGTCTCAGCTTTAGTGATTACTGAGACCTTCAACTGAGCAAAAGGATCTTGCACTATCTGGGCATGCCTATCCAAGAAAAGCTTCTCTAGTATGGAACTAAGTGCTGGATATTTCCAACAAAACACGTTCAACACACACCTGTTGCACATGTAGATGAGATGGCAGTGTTTTTATCAGGTTATACCTTTGGAAATTCTGAGCTGCAAATGTGTCTTGAAATTTACACTTCACACAAAAAAACCCAATCCACAACTTTACAGTAGAAGGCTTCATCTAGAGAAAATGCTTACACTTCGACAGACAAAACTCAGGTGCAATAAGCAGGTCAAGAAAAGTCATTTAAATTAAACCATGCATGTTTTGAGAAAGGGCTTGTTATCTCTAGTCAATCCAGTATCCATGAAGACACCGCTTTAATTCTCTTACTTTGTAGTACTTTATGTAGAACTCAAATCTGATCATAAGCCATGTGAATGAACATATCCACTTCCTTAAAGGCATCTGAAGCAACAAAATCTATAGTTCAGGGGCAACTCTGGTAGTTTCCTAACCCACCAAGTGTTTTTCTTCATTTAGTGTTTTATATATTCAAGTACTTTTGCACAAAATAGATACCTACTGCTTTAAAATACTATATCACTGTTTAATCTGCTATTGATGCACAGCAATAACATAGAGCAAAACTTTAGAAGTTGTAGAAATACAACTAGACAAACAGCAGTCATTAAGCTACAATATCTATGATTAATATATAGGCTCTTAAATGATTAGTAATAAGATTAGCTTGCATTTCTTCTGCCCAATAGATACTTAAAGTAATTGCATCTTTGCAAACTGCATTATCATCACTTCATGTTCTTTATGATGTCATGGGACAGCAAGGCAGACTCAGCACTTTCTCCTGAGCCTGCTTTGGGTTTTCTCCTACAGGAATCAATTTTCTGGCAACACTAGACAGTTTGATATGGAGGCTGTAAGCACTGCTCACAAAACATCTGTCTAGCTATGTTAAAAATTAAAAACCATTTTGCATCACTGTTCAAAACTTCCCAAATTAAAGATGACAAAGAAATAACACCAAAATGCGAGTTGTTTGATGCCAAAAATAGTTTTAATTATATCCTAGGAAAACTAAGGTACTCAGAAAAAGTAACAGAAACCCTTTACTTAAAAAATGGCATTTCAAAAAGGCAGGACTTTTCTTCTTTGTCCTCTTGACACTGCGATCAAACTGCTAGCAAATTTGCAATTATTGCTAGGTCTGCTGCAAATTTACAGCAGTCAATGGGACCCTTTCCACGAGGTCCAACCAGCACTCAAGCAGCTTAGGTGAGTGATAGGAACTAGATATTTATTTATAATGTGAGCAGTGAAATTTCCTACTATGCCAAATTATTAATTGACTGAAGCATAAATAAATAATTTTCTTTAGGTCTGTTTAACATATAGACTTATGAATTCAAACATAAGCTTGCTTAAGTCCAAACTGCTGGTTCTTATACAAGAGAGAGGTAAGCTAGATGGGAGCCAGGTGACAGCACACACTGCCCAAATTCTTTCCAGTGGTACTATTTCTTGCCTGAAATAATGTCACTACTGCTAGTACTACACCTATACTTCTGCATGTGCCACAATATGGGTGTGAGAGAAATGGTATTGAGAGAGAGAAAGGGAGGGAGGAAAAGTTCTTCCAGTACATAAGATTATATTCAATAAGCATAAATAAATAAATGTGGTTGCTATTGTCTAGAAAACCATCATCTAATGAATGCAACTTCAACAAATAAACTAATAGTACATAAATGGTTCATTTTGTAAGTGGCTTCAAACCCTCTCCTGTATTCCACCAGACAAGTATTATCAGCATCACAGTGACATGAGGCTCATTAAATGCTTTAAAATGCTTCAGGGAAATATGGGGCAGAGTCTGTCTCCTATCAAAACCCCCAAAGCCTTATGTGCATCCAGGAATAGTTTGGCAAGGCAGTATACACATATCACACAGGGCTTTAAAAGCTGGATCTCAGTTTCCTATGACTCGGTTAAACACAGAAGTTGCAGCTAGAAGATTAAGGGACTGGATTTCCTCAGCCACACACGGATTCCTGCACTAAGACTGCTAACGCCAAACACATCTCACAGATAATTAATCTTCACTATTCCTCAAAAATAACAGTGTGACATAGCAGTCATATAAATTGTAATACTTAGAGCTTTGATGTATCATATAAACCAGTACAATTCACAGTATAGCAGAGGTAGAGGAAATGTTCCAGGTTACTGTTGAGGCAAATAAGATTTTCCAAAGTGCTGGAAGTACTACTTAGCTACTGTTTCCTGGAGATCTGTTTTACCAGGAGCCCAACAGCCCACCTCTGTTGTAGCATTAGAACCCACTTCAAACAGAGCACGACCAAAATGGGCCAGTGACTGCCCTCCCTCAGCAACTGAGAAAGTTATCTGAATTCAGCAGTCAAATGTTTGCAACAAAAAAAATTTAACCTACAAAAAAGTTTTGTTGATCTGCTACCGTTACAGCCCTTGAAACAACAGTACACAAATAATTGGCATTGTTCTGGAGACAGTTTGCAAAGACCCGTGTTCTTACCCATATATATACACACATAACTTGCTAACAAGCAGAGTGGGGTGTGTAAATCTTTGTTTCCAGGCAGATGCATGGATGTATATATAGGCAAGTGCAACACGCCTCCGAGAGCCCGTCAGCTTTAGTCTAGAGGGTCTGAAACAAAGTAAGCTTAAAAGGAGCCCTTTCATTAAATTTAGCAGCTTCTTAGCATACGCACCTGTACACTGTAAACACACAGTAGGAGTCTACAGCTCTTAAATTAAACCTAAGCTCCAATGTTAGATACAGATTTCTCAAGTATTCTTCCTTTCGCTTTTGAGAGTTGCGGATGTACCCACGCACACCAAAACTATTTATACCGCAAGCTCTAAAGTTTGCCCTCTCCTCCTAACAATATCGCAGACAGAAATGTCCCCGTCCAGCTGCCAACAAAACTCGGTGCACAAACGTTCCCCGGGAAGACGCTCGATCTCTTTAAGCAATTCGGGCTCAGGCACAGCGCGCCGGCACTCAACCAGCTCTGAGACGGGGCAGGACATGACTTGAGGCTGCCGCAGGAGCCCGAAGGGTTGCTCAGCCCCGCAGCATCCCCACTCCGCAGCATCCCCGCTCCGCAGCATCCCCGCTCCGGAGCATCCCCGCTCCGGAGCATCCCAGCTCCGCAGCATCCCAGCTCCGCGGCATCCCAGCTCCGCAGCATCCCAGCTCCGCGGCATCCCCCGGCTCCGCGGCATCCCCGCTCGGCAGCATCCCCCGCTCCGCCGCGGGACAGGCGCGCCCGGGAGGCGCTCCCAGCCGAGCCCCCGGCCCGGCTCCCGGCTCCGCTCCCGCACGGAGCACTCACCGCTGAGGAC